AGATTTGCTATCCTCCGTTTCGTCTTCCGGCCAATATCATCAACTTTAGTTTTTCTAATTGGCGCTACATTGGATTCTTTCTGTTTTGAATAGAATCAGATTTTACCTTTTTAATGATATTTCATAAGTTATCGTTCTTTTTCGAAAAATTGGTGATATTGAAAAGAATCAATTCTTATCATATAATAGGCTTTGACTTTGTTGTTTCTAAATTTGACTTCCAATTGGTTACACTCAGTGGCATTTTGTTATTCTACAAGTCATTGAATTTTAGGCGAAAAATGGATTTCATGAATGAAGAAAAAAGAGATATAATACAAATTTATTAGAAATATGATAGAAATAGTGTTGGGACATCGGAAATGTATTCAAACTTGTATCCCGAAAGACGAAATCCACATCAAACTATGTTCAAGTTATTGGATCAAAATATTACCGAGTTTGGTTTATTTGAAAAGCCGAGGAAAAAATACGGAGACTGAATGGATCAGAAAAGTAAAGAAAATTTGATAAATGAGGTATGTATGAGGAAAGTTAGACATTGTGTCCTTATCAATAAAAATGAATTTTTGCAGATAAACTTGAACCCGGGGAAATCTACACGTCAAATTTCCTCCGAAATAAATATTTGTCATACATGTGCTTGGAGACATCTAAAAAAAGCGGTTTAAAAAGTTACAAAATACACATATCTCAAGAATTGCATCCAGGTGATCCCAAAAGTGAATAAGAATTTTTTAATTGGCTGATAAGAAAACCCAATTTTCCTGTTTTCCTGGAAACTGTAATTTGGATAGATGAAAGCCCTTTTACGAATTGTGGGATATTCAACCGAAATAACGAACACATTTGGAGCATAAACAACGTGTGGGCAGTAACTTACAAAGATAGAATTTTGGGAATGGAATGGGGAAACCTATCACCAGCTTTTAATATCGAATTTCGAAGACTATTTGGATGATCTACCTTTGGCTAACTATAACAACATCTGTTTTCAACATAATGGTGCTCCACCACACACTACCAGACGAGTATATGATTACCTGACTGAACGTTTGGTGATAAATGGATAGGGAATAATGGGCCGGTGAGGTGGCCAGCAAGGTCTCCGGAATTAAGTGTTATGGATACACTCTTGTGAGGTACACTGAAAAAAGAGTTGATGGTCAGAGGAAATATCAAAATATTGAGGACCTTCAACACAGCATTGTTAGAGAGTTCGGAAGATTGAACAGGAGGGAAATTAATCTTGCAGTGAATAATATTCAAAGAAGGGAACATTTGCGTTATCATGAAGAAGGCCAGCAGTTTCAGCCTTTGCTGTGATTTACTTTTGTCTTTGCATTTTTGTTAATTATTGTTTTTTGTTCAAAGTTCTATTTTCATTGAAAAGGGCACAGTGTTTCATTTACCTCATACACACCTCCTTTCTGTCTTCAATTTTTCCATTGGCTTTTCAAACAAAGCAAACTTGGTGAGATTTTGATCCAATAATTTGAACATAGTTCCATGTGATTGTCGTCTTTCGGGATACAAGTTCAAATACATTTCCGATGTCCTAACACTATTTCATCGTATTTGTATCATATCTCTTTTTTCTTTATTTTCGAAAGCCATTTTCCGCCAAAAATTCAGTGACTTGTACAATAACAAAATATCATTGGGTGTAACGAATTGAACGTCAAATTTAAAAACATAAAAGTCAAACCCTATTATGATAAGAATTTTTTTTTTCGATATCCCCAATTTTTCGAAAAGGAACGAAAACTTATGATACATCATTGGGAAGGTAAAATCTGGTTCTATTCAAAACAGGAAGAATCCAATATAGCGTCCATTAGAAAAAATAAAGTTGATGATGGTGACCGGAAGACGAAATGTGGGATAGCAAATCTAAAAACACCATTATATAGCAGGAAAAATGTGGCCATGTGGAAGTGCAATTGAAATCCTTTGAAGAATAAAGCCAGAAAAAAATAAAAACCATTTTCCGGATATCTCGAGATATACTCGGAAATTCAGAACTTCCTTAACGGCATATTGTTAGTCAAGTAAATGTGCAACTTTGCCCCTATTTAACCATCTTTGTAGCTCTCATAGTTTCCGAGAACCCAATGGTGAGGATCGAATTTGAAACACCCTGTATATTTGTGATTGTAACTTGATAAGATGCACAAAGAATAAATAAATGCAATGAATTTTATAACGCAACACAATAATACAAATACAGACTGAACGTTGATATCAAGTATTATTTTGGGTGGCACAGTATAATATACTATTTCTCTTATCTGATGTTTGCAAATTTTGGGAAACAGGCTATATTGTTAGAGCTGAAATGTATATATGACACTCTGCAGGATACTCGAGTACCTGTGTACAATTGTCATGAAGTAAATTAGTTATTCACTACAAAAAGTGACATGTTTGTGAGAAATAACAAATTATTTGCCATTGACAAATGAATTTCTTCAAAAATGACGTTCTTGCATGTATGGGAATAAAATTTTCCATTCAGTTAACTGGTTTGATGATCCAATAATTTTTCTGAAAAAGGGGTTGGTTTGGTAACTGGATCATTTTTTTCTTTAAAAAACAATTGTATTCTTGCCGATGTTTCGAATGTAATTAAATTCTTCTTCAGGGCTCGGAAAGTAGTTTTTCCGTGTTGATGATAATACTAATTTAAAAACCATCAGATATATTAGATACGCATTAAAAAAATGAGAATAAAAAACATCGCAACAACAAATTTTCGAGACAACACCAACACAAAACGACGTTTGTTTCATGTCCTGAAGAAGAATTTAATTAAATTCGAAACGTCGGCAAGAATCCATATTTTTTTTTAACAAAATTGATCCTGTTACCCAACCAATCCCTGTTTCATGAATATTTTCCATATTGACAAAAAAGTTCAACTATCCATGATAATAACTATACAGGGTGTTCCTTAAACACATGCTAATATTTAAGGAGGTAATTCTTAGACCCACTTTAAGGAAAAAACATCCTATGGACGTATGTTATAAACGCCTTAACTTTTGAGATACAGGGTGGCAAAGTTTTCAAAAATAATCAGTTTTTTAATAATAACTGAGATAATTTTGTACACATCTTTGGCATATTTGGCACATATGTTCCACGCCTCAAGGCGCATTTTCTGATGTACAATTTTCTTAATTTTCTGTGCCAGTGGCGTACGTACGAGTTTTGAAATGTATATTTTTGGCGAAAAAAATACTACGCCACTGCTTTATCTTGAATTAAAAATTATTTTTAAAATCTCCATACATTTTTGAGCACATTTGATTTGCTGGGTTTTCTTTGTCCGAC